TGCAACTAGAGTACCTAAACCAAACATTCCACTAAACAATAGAGCAAAAGTCTAAACAAACATTTCTTCACTAACAACTCTCCCATCATCTTTCCACTGTACAAACAAAAATCCACTTTCAACATGAATGTTTATTATCTCAAGTTTAATTTTTGGTCCCTCAAAGCCTTTCTAACAAGCCATGAACATTTTGTTTATATCATACTCGGGCTAGTATAGTAATAATATTTATTTAATTTAATAAACTTTCGACGGAAAAACAGGTAAAGCAAAAACAAGCCAACAAGAACACTCAATAGCCTCAAAAGGCGATACAAGCAAACAACAATGATGTTTATTTGGGACGTATATGTATCACCAAAATCTCAATCGGAGATAGATAAAAACTAATATGATGATTTGGGAGACATTTAGTTTTAGTTGAAGTCTGGTTTTTCAGGGTAAGTGCAGCCAGACCTTTGGATCACTACGTTTGAAGCGTAGCATCCCGCCCTCACGCACTCCTCAATCGCCTTTCCGTGCACCAGCTGCGAAAGGAACCCTCCCACAAAAGCATCACCTACGAAAACAAAATAAAGCGGTTAAACAATTGATAGCTAAGACTGAGACCAAATGTATGATGATCTTGTTATCGCAATCTCGCAAAGCAAACGGTTTTGTAAAACCCGGATTTGGATAAGAGTCCATGGTGTTTCGGCTTGAATAGATAAATGGTTAATATCATCAAACATTAACAAGCTTTTGAAGAGAAATTCAGGGGCTTAATTCTTAGCTATAAGTCTATCGTTCCTAGCCTAGGACTGTTGTCAGTTAGTTAGTGAGAGCTGGATTCTTATCAAATACCTGCACCGTTGGTGTCAACGAGGTTCTCCTTGGGGAGAGGGATGACTGGGTACTTCTTCACCTTTCCATCCTCAGCAACAACCACGGGATCTGCGCCTTGTGTGATCACAGTGGTCCTCTTGTATGTTCCGGTGGCTTTGGGCAACTGGGAGATCTTGATGGCTATTTGCTCAACATCATCGGTCTGTATAAAACATAACCAAGCACATTAATAAACTGTCTTTGTTCAAACCAATAAACCAGGGTGAAACTATGGCAGTTACCTCCCAGCCGTGAACCCTGGAGAAGGTTCTTGCCTCAGTCTCATTGCCAAAAACATAGTCCATGTACCTGGTTCGAACAAGATATTAGATGCATGCGTATTGCTTTTCAGTATATCGGCAACAATTAGTTTAGGCAACTATAAGATGGAATAAATGGATAATAAGATTAGGATTTGCTTACGGCAAGCACTTCTCCTGAACATCTTTGAAGAATTCACAGATGAATGGAGCAGAAAGGTTCATTGTGAACACCTGCCAAATATGTGAGCAAGTCAGGAACTCAGGATCGTTCATATAAAAGACATATTAATCAGGGAGAAAGATTGCTATTCCTGGTTCTCGTGAAGGATCATATCTTCTTTACCTTGTTGTTTGCAGCGGCATGTTCACGTACCAACTGAATGGATTCTGGTGATACTGTGAGGAAGAATCCAGCAATGTAGTAGAACTTGGCCTTCTCAACTGCCAAAGAAAAAAAAAATGTTTCACAAAATCTCAAATAATTCCGACATGTGAAACTATCCAATCTTATAGAACACACTTTGATATAAAGGTCGGAAAATGAGTACTTACCCAGAGCCCAGTTCTCAGGCTTCTTTAGGTGTTCAACCTTGTAGCAATTTGCAGCAGAAAGATTCGCGATAAGCGACCTGCAAAAAAAGGAAACATGCCTCAATACAATTCAGCACAAGGAAATCTTTTTAAGTTAATCATAAGCAGGCATAGAGACTGATTCTAGACTGACCTTTCTCCACCCACAACACAGACACCGCAAGTTCCAGTAGGCGTTGACTCATCCTCATAATAGTGGACCTGACATAGAACACCAGCAGATTTTACCAGTCTATTTCATGAAAATAATGGAGTTGGACTTTAAGTAAAACCAAACACCAACATTTTTTAACTTTTTTTAAAGCAGACTCACATTGAGACCAGCTGCTGTAGCATCCTTCTTCATTGCCTCTCCGTATTTGTCCTTTCCAATGGATCCCATGTAACTGGTTGCCCCTGGAATTTGAAGCATCCACTGCAGTAATCAAAGATACCATTCATTTAGCGAAAAAAGAACTATCTTTAAAACAAGTATATATGATAGTAAGGCGTAATTATCCTTTACCTGGGCCACTTTGATTGAGTTTTGTGTAGCACCTGAGAACCGAAAGAACCAAGAAGATATCAACAAATCCTGCTAATAATGCACAAAAACACCAAATGTCGAATAGCACAGCAAAAGTTAAATTACCTCCAGCAATGTATTCCACATTGAACTTCTTGCTCATTTCATCGTACCTAAGAAAAATATCCGCTGTTCATGTAAATTCCCAGTATAACAAGATAATCTAACAATGAGTTAGTGAAGAAATATAGTCACAGTCATATCAAATGACATCTGGAAAGAGAAGCTCGTTTCTTTGTCTGTATCATTCCTGTAGTGATTCGATACAGGACTTATCGAGATTCCATATACATTACCCAAATCGATTACAGAACAGCTTGAAGAGTAAATACTAATCAAAAACAATCTATTCATTTCGGAGTGTTTGAGTGTAGCTTAATGATCAAAGGTTGGAAATTTAATTGGATTGAGAAAAGGTGTGATCCGATTCCGATTCTTACATGGGCAAATGTTTGTCCTCTGCGAGAATCGCATTGTTCAACTTGATGTCGTATCTGTACACGAAATCCAGAAGATAACATTGAAAATCAGAGAAACCCAGAAGGATATATCTTACACAAACAATCCAGATCCGAGCCAATAGGGTTGCGATCTGAAGAAAACGAAGAGACGGATCTGAGCTTACTTGTTGAGAAACTCTTGGTCGACGACGGCAGAGACGTCGAGGAGTGGGTTTCCCATTCCCAATAGGATTCCATCGAAATCAGAGGAAGCCATGGATGAATTTCGAGAAGAAGGAAAGAGATTCAGATCTGGTAAAGGAGGAAGTGTTTTTGGTCACAGTGGAGAGTGTTTCCAC